CTTTGGGATGGGCTATCTCTTAGTGCTCGTACTCTTTGGTGATGACATTCATCAACTCATATGAGGTAAGTGGCTGTTTCGTGATACATACGGCTGCATTAATTGATGAGATTATTGGTCTGTAGGATTCTGGCAGTGATCCCATGATAATAGCATAGTAGTCTCTTTCATCTATACTTGCTCCCATTCCTGCTAATGATTCTCAGATCCTTAACAGGTCTCCAAAATGTGTCTTCACATCTCCACCTTCTTCACACCTGGTCTCCTGCAGTTTTCATCACAGGTCTATCTGCACCATCTCCGTCTTTCCTTCATGTATGTGGCATACTTCTGCCCATATCTTCAAGGCATCTCCAAGGCTCTGGATATGCAACAATAGTCGGTCTGAGACCGTACTAAATATATGTTGCTTAACAAGTGAGTCCTTCCATTGAAACTCATCGATCTTCTTCTCCTGTTCTTCAATCTCCATCTGGGTAGCTACTGATTTGTTTGGCTTCAGTGCTTGTCCTTGTGAATCAATTTCAAAAGGTACAGGCTCCTTTATCCTACCACCAAGATAGTGCATCAAACCTCATGCTCGTATCACCGTTTGGGCCCTTTCCTTATAGGTTATCCAGTTCATTTCATTATTGGTGAGCTGGGGGATGTTATATAGTGATGAAGAGCCAGGGAGCATTCTATCTATGGTAGTATCAGGGCTCATAACCTGTGATTATGTATAGATTTAGAATAGAGTATTGAAGATATTATTTTTGACTACCCATTGTTACAAGTAACATCGGCTACATGGCCCCCCTATCATTTTTCCCCTTCGTCCTCGCCCTCGTATGCCTCCGGCTCGTACTTCTCTACCGACTATCCGTTGACTGGATCCTCGGGACTGTTCCTGTCCCTCGTCCCCCTCCTATCGCACCAACGTGCGCACGTGCCTTCGGGCTATGACTCGTTCTGACTCGTGCCACCAATGTGGCTTTCCTTATCTCGTCTTATCTCTCCTCTGACTCATGCGTGCTGCGCATTGTATCTTTTACCATTGGCTCGTTCCAACGTTTCTCGGCCTCATTCCGCATTCGACCTCACATCACTAATCAGGCTCTGCTACCAGCGTACCTATACCCTTTCCGTTTCCCCTTTGCCCTTACCTACAGTACGGTAGCCTTGCCCTTAACCCTTTCCACTTAGTATAAGTAGTTGGTCACTCTGTACTAGATTCCCTAACTTGAATCTACTCAATCTTCCCTCGAACATACTTCCCTCTGAAGCCCCCCCTCAGCTTCAGTCTCTAGTATCTTTTCTTAGGTGCTCATCGCGCCTAAGTCTACCTCGATCGACTACTCATCGTTCGGACAAGACTGTCCTTACTTTGAGAACGTCAGTGACTTTGAAGACACCCGTCTTAGAAGTCACGTGACACGCGCGTCTCTGATATCTGCCAACTCGTCGTCGCCAGTCTCAGTCGCTACACCGGACCCTTCCGGTTACGTCACGAACGTTAGCGGACGACGCCCCTCTTAGGGTTCCGCATAACAGATCTATTTGAGTGCGTAACACCCATCCTGTAAGTACTTTGTACAATATTTATACTATCAATCAGTTATATCCATGTGTCTGATCTGAAAACATTTGTTTCAGATAGTGTTGTTGGCAAAACAGCCAAGTTTTGCCAACTGGTTGTGCCAGACCAGTTGTGCCCAGTGATCAGCAAAACTCATCCAAACAGAGGGTGGCACAACTTGGCAAAACTTCAGATCGCAGAGATATAACTTAGATATGATAACATTTACTTTGAATCTAATAAAACATAAAAACCAACATCCCTAGAGCAAGATGGTGCATAGTGGAGGACGCTGAAGGTACAACAATTCAGATGGTGAGTCTGAACAATGTGTTGGGTCTTGCAGAACCTAGCTGCTATTCGACCCTAAAGGGTTTCTGGACCAGGCTCAAGGCTCAGAGGAGAGGAAATATCATAGAAAACTACTGAGCACTCAGACTCATACTGGTAACTGGTGAAAAGATTGCTTGATTATGTAAGCTACAAAAGTGCCAACATAAGGTAAGGTAAAAACAGTCTCTACAAGCCCAACCAGAAATGAATCCCTACAACGCCCCCTTGCACCACTGATCAACAACAATTTCGAGCACCTGGAACAAGTTCCAAACAGCTTGCATTGCTACTACTGGAAATGCAGACACTGTGGAGACACTGACAACTCATCAGGAGCTCAAATCCAGGGTCATGACAACAACCTACCAAACCATCTTATCAAGCACTGTACAAATGCAGTTGCTCTTCTGTGCCAAGCAGCACATCAATTTATTATGGAAAAGACTGGTGCCCCACTGATTCAAATGCTATTCTTACTTCACTGGCTGCTTCTGGAAGTTCAACTATTGCTGCCATTCCCATCAAGAAATGTAAAGCTTCAAACCTAGATGGATATATTGATCGTCCGTTAAGTAAGGAACAAAATAACCTAGCAAATGCAAAGTTGCTTCGGTGTGTCGTGTCATCCCTACTAGCTTTGAGCCTCAAATCTAATTGTTAAATCTTGAAAATAGCTTTTTCATTCACACTGTAGAGACTCATGCCTTTCATGGTATTATGGCACTTTTCACTAGGGAGTTCATTGCACGAACTTGCAGCACCACTCTGTGTGCTGTCTGCAGCTATCCCTATATGAGGTGCAGCTTTCCCGCGCAATGCGCACACACTTCCCACGCTTCACAATGTATATGCGCGCACACTTTCCCGCGCTTGAGCACCCTATAGCACCAGCCATCTGGAAGCATCCATCCACTGTCCACCAAGCTCTCTAGTGCGTATATTTCTGTTTCCCTTATCTGCATATCATTCCATCTTATTTTTATCATGGACCCTTACTTATATTTATCTTTACATACCTTACTTGGTAGCGCATCGGCTCTGCATGACAGCGCTTAGGCAGCACATATAAGTGCCAGCAGTACATACTATGAGGGACTTTTACTTCACTTTTCCACTCACTTACTGGTTACTACCCACTTACTACTTAGCAGAACATAGTAGAAGTCTATTTGTCTACACTTCGCATCTCTCTTCTCTTGTCTTACATCATATCATCACTTAAGCAAACTCACTCTTACTCTTACTCATCTCCGCATACACGCACACACTTTCCTGCGCTTCGCGCATTCCCGTGCCTTGCACACACCTGTGCTTTCTCACACTTCGCATTGGCCAAACAGTAGCGCCTTCAGCGCATATCACTAGATCCTTGCTGCATTCACTTCCCCTTTAGGGTAGAATGCACTTGTCTTCTCAAGTATAGCAGACCAGGCAACGCGTGACCTTATAACATTTATAGATACAGTCAGGAGCCTTGTTCACACCTTGCAGTGTTGTAGTTTCTACAATGCTAATATCCCCTTCCATATTGGTGATGATGTATTTTTCCATGAGTTCATCAATGTAATACATCCCTCATATCACATACCATCATGTTATGTGTTATCTCATCACTCGCTTGATAGTGAAGCTGTCCATGTCCAACAAGAGGAGATAAACCAACTTAAGGACCAAAAATGTCTTACCCTTCTCCTGGATGAATGGGAGGATCTACTATGGAGGAGCCTGTATGGCTCACTTGCAGTTGAGGTTAATCACCCTCCTGTAGTTCTCACACTCAAGAATATGACTGGGCAGAGAGGCACTGCTGAAAATCTAGTGGCTGTGTCTCAGAAGGCCATGAATCATATGGAAGTTGAGGATGGGAAAAAATTCATCACTGTGACTACAGATAATCCAACAGTCATGCAGTCTTACCGTTGCAAACTCCAGGAGGTATTCCCTTGGATTCTCGTAAGTCAATGTCATTATGCTAAATTCCTAGTGAATACCAAAATGAACCTCAGCCATTTGCATGCTTCCTGCATAGTTTGAATACATTGATTGGAGATATCATGTCCTTCCCAGAAATAAAGAAGATTGTCACTCAAACTGCTCATGTTGTCACCTTTTTCAATTCATCACACTATTGGGGTGGACAGCTCAATGACAAAGCTAAGAAACACAATATCAACCAGAAAATGAAGCAAAACTGCAAGTCACATTTTTGTGCATTGATTCTCCAATGTTTAAGTGTGCTAGAGTATCAGTAAGTTGCCCTTCATACACACACTAATAACTACAAGCAACTAATATACTCGTATCATAGTTCTCCACTCACTCTTATCTGCATGCATCCTGATGCCAAGAAGAAGACCAATGGCCTAGCTCCTGTCACATCTGATGTTATAAACACAATCTTAAATGATCCCCTCTACTGGAGACTTCTTGAACAGATTGTGACGATGGTCAAGTTTATTGTTGATGCAGTTGACAACCTTGAGTTTCGCCAAGCCTCACTGGCTGACTGCATGCTAGAACTTCTTCACTGCACCAAACAGATGTCCCAGTTGGCTTGCAAACAGGATTATCATGTTGGCTTTTGGCTGCATGCGAGATCTGTCTTCAACCGCTGCTTTCACACCATGAATACAGAAGTTCACTCACTCACTCTATTTCTCCACCCAATGTGTCGGAAACTCGCTGTCACACAGGTAGCCAATGGCAGGTCCCTCACATTCATGGTTAAGACTGACTTGGCATTGCAAAACGTTGGAAATGGGACATAATGATGGCTAAAAAACTCTCCAATGATCTGCAGGCCTACAATCAGTCAGTAGCTCTGTTTGCTGGTGGCCAAGCAGATGGCCTTTCTTGGTGGCAAAACCTTCCAATCAACTCCGAGATCCACCCTCTCAAGGCCTTTGCTGTCACAATTCTCTCAATTGTAGGGCATGCAGATGAAGTAGAATGCACATTTTCTGATCTTGGCACAACACAATCTGCACAATGGTATAATCTTTCAGTTGAAACATTCAAGACCCTTGGAAAAACTTGTGCGAACCTTCGACACCACAGTGCCATAAAAGCCACAGAGGCTGGGAAGTCTACTCGTCATTGACATGCTCACATGCACACTTGTGAAGAGGTTGGCATTGCTGTTGAGACTGCACAGGCATCCTTTGTATGGGCACCTCCACTCTTGGCTGAACCTCTTGATGCAGATGACCTGCTTTCTGGTCCAGAGAGTATCTCACCTGACAACATTGCTGCTGAATTTGCAGCTCTCAAAGAATTGAAGCGGACAGAAGAAGTTCATGACATTGACAAAGTTGAAGTGCTGGAGGGTAATGTTTTTGATTTTGATGAGTTAGATTGTGTCAAGCAAGGGATAATACCACAGGCTATTCTGGATGAGGTTGAGGTGGTCAATTACGATGGCGAGGATGATGGATGGGACAAGGCAACTTTAATGTCTTCATTAGGAATGTTGTTCACATAGCTCAAAGTTTTGCCAGTACTGCCGGTTGCAACCGGCAAAACTGACCTCAAGTAGTTTTGCCCCCCACACTAGTTTCGGACTTGTCTTTCCTCCGTGCTGCTATTACTAATCGACACCACTCCAGCTATTCCCGGGTAAGTTGGTGTTCCCTACATTACTCATTCCTGTATGTATTACTAAGCTTCTGTTCCTGTGCTCATACCTCCACCATATGCTCCTAAGTCCAACACTATCTTGATTCTTAAAGTCATGAAGATGATCCTTTGCACTTTCATTGCTTTTGTCATGCTAAAATTATGCTTTATCATGTGATGTTTGCTTGATCAGAGAAATTGTATGTGGTTGTATTTGGTTTGTGGCTATTGCTCTCTACACACCACTGACTGGTTTGGAGTAGTGTTGCCGCTGGTGTGAGTTGGAATCAAGTTAACATCAACTCGACTTGGAAATTTACGCAACTCATGGCAACTGCCCCATGCGGTGTAAACATCGAGTTGCACTGCAAGTTGTTGATTGACATATCAAGAAGACTTTCCCATAAGCTTCCCTGGTATCTTATCAATGTTACTATAAGTCTCTATAATCTTGCCGACTGTAGCTTGAGTATTTCATGCAATCTTGAGCACTTCTCCAGTGCTTTACACCTCGCCATTATACCTTGTCAATATGTCTGCCCTACTTGCTTTGTTGGTCCATATAAAATCAAAAAATTTCTACTTTTTTACACATGAGTTCTTTACTACTATGTACATACCCATCAGTCTCACACTCATTGTTTTCACATATGGCGCTAATTGTGATTAGGATGCGGAACAAGTATATCCACTCTCATACAAAGTCACCCTCATCTTACCCATACAGGCTTCCTCCATGCTGTGTGAGCGAGCCTTCTCATCAAGTGTTCATGATATTGTAGCCATGATGAGTCATGACTGTAGAAATATCTAATTCTGTTTCTGCCAAATATAGCTATTTATGTGCCAATAAATTTGACTTGCTAAACCAAAAAGAGATAGATCTGAGCCTGCTGATTGGTGGACTTAATTCCTGAACAACATCCGAACTCCCTAGTTGCACTGGTGTGTAACTCGATACAACTTGAATCATTTGCTTGTTTGAGTTCACTAGCACCACATCACACCACATCAACTTGTGGCAACACTAGTTTGGAGTCTGGTCCTAGGCTCATGACCAGCCTGGCGTATACTACCACAGTTGCACAAGTGGTGTAGCCAGGCTGGTTGATCTCGGAGTGGCAGGGCAGGGCGAAGTGAGGAGTTTGAAATTTGATAGGTGCCGGTTGTGCTGGAGGAAGTTCCGATCATACAGCACAAGTTATGTGTCTGCTCTTGCTCAGACTGTATGCTATGTTAAGTTTCAATGTTGCAACGCTCAACCATGAGTTCTGTATGACTTTTATCACTTGCTGCTTGAGATACAATTGAAAATATCCCAACGGACCTTATGAGGGCACTCTCAACAACACAACACCAGCAAGTTCTCAAGGCTTTCTCGTGAGTCGTGATTCAATCTTCTTTCACAATGTCCAAAATTGTTCCAGCTCAGATGCCTCATGAGTCATATCATTACATTCAGGGTCGTAAACTGATGTGAAGTTGCTTACTCACTCGCTCATCCATGTCCAACACATTCAGAAATTGCACAAGTGCCTTGCTTCGAAAGAAACCTTCTCTCCAAGTTGCCATGGAGAGTCTTTCTGAGATTGAATACAACATGGGGTCCATGACTAACATCCACAATCCACGAAATATTTTGAGGACAGCGAGAGTTTTTCCCTCCTTGTCGAGGCCGGAAGGATTGGTCATCCGAGCCAGAGGTTCAGGCTGCTGATACATCATCACGGGTGGGTATAATGCATGAAATGGAATCATTTTTATTGTCCCAATCTATGACGCTCCAAATGCCACTTTAATAAACTGCACGATACACAACGTAAATGCGCGATACACACCGAGTGCACGATACACAACGTCGAGTGCGCGATACACAACGTCAAGTGTGCAATACACAATGTCGAGTGCGCGACACGAAAAGAACCGCAGCCTGAGCTTTCAAGTTGGGCCTTGAAGTTGTCTTAGAAGTGCTTCAAAATGACAATATCATGGATTTCGAAGGTAAAACTAAACTCTATAAGCGCTAACAAAGTAGAGTCCGAGAGTGGGAAAGAAAGACCCGAAAGTTGCCAGCCTCGAACCTTGTTACTAAGGGCCTGGCCAGTAGTAGTAATGATTGTATTGTTGTCATTAAGGGAGTGCATCGTGGTATGCGGCAAGGGTAAGTTTGGTCAGAGTCGCAAGGCATAGGTGGCAATGAACTTGAAGCTTCGTCATGATAATTATTGTACTAGAAAAGATATCAAGTAGATCGCAGTAGGGCATGAGAAATTAGACGGAGATAGTTACGTCGCCGATGAAATAATCCTCAGACCAAGGATTAATACGAGGAGGGGCAGATGGGTCTGTCATTCAACTACTGGAGCTGAGTGATATGTATCTTTGCAAAGATGCACGTGTTTACGCTGTTCATCATCTCCAGCGCCAACGCTACTCACTCGAACCAACACAACTTATCTCACTTGCATTGAAGTACAATATCAAAGACTTCTTTCCACATGCTTTCGAGCGGCTCGTTTCAGCTCGCATCAATGATATATCTGACGAGGAACGTCACATGGTTGGATCTATTGTATGGAACACAATGTTCAAAGTCAAGGAATGCCTCGATGTACACCGCCGGATCATCGCATGCGAAGCCCCACCCATGGTGCATGCAGCAACTTGCATGAAGCAAACAAGATGTGAGGAAGACTGGAAGCAGCTGTGGTGGAATGGAATGGGCAGGTTTTTGCTGGACGGACGAAATCCACAACCTTACAAGGATGCTGTTGAACGATTCGAAAAACTTGACATTGGAGAGATCAACTTGGACTGTTGGAAGGCGGTGTTATATACTGTAAAAGCTCAAAGCACTTTTGATCACGAGCGGACACTCATCGATGCATCACTCATACAGCTGATAATCTTGCAAAATGCTTGATCGTTGAGCCCAGCTTCGAAGATTTCAGCCATCCAATTGATTAGAAGTACTACCTACATGAAATGTCTTGACATAGTACTAGTATGGTATCACGCACTCGACATTGTGTATCGCGCACTTGACATTGTGTATCGCGCACTTGGTGTATATCGCGCAGTTTATTAAAGTGGCATTTGGAGCGTCATACCAATCAATGATTAGTGCTCCGGCGCGATGTACTGTTGTATTTTGAGAGGATACTATACTTTTCACGGTACGAACAAAAGAGTTTGCGTTGTTGACCCCCAGTCAAATCCTACTCCACGCTCAGCCAGGGACATACATCGACATACAGAGGGGATACACACGTACACACATACAGACAGAAAATGGTTGATTTTTACAGGACTGTATCTTATGTAATGCTGTCGTCTCGATAACAGAATATATCTTGTCGACTTGGACTTACTCACAACGAAACTCTGATGCCTGCAGAACGCACACAATGCGAATACACCTGTTCGTGTGTTAGGAAATGCAACGGTGTCTCGAACAAAGTCAGCAGAAGCACCTACCACACCCATGAGAAATATCACCAGGAAGACATGTCATTTACTTCAATGGGCACACCTAGCTTTGTCAATCCACTCAGAGGAGTACGGAGCAACTTGAATCATGCACAACCTGAGGAAGCCTCTATGTCAAACACGTCACGTCTGTCTTCACCCTCATCCCAACCACCTGCTAATGTCAGAGACTTCGGAAGTATAGCCTCGCATGGTTTGCATGAACATATAGACCATGATTCTGGTCACGCTACAGATCTACAAGAGATTTTTGATCGGGTGAGTCTTGTCTAGCCGTTTTATGCAACGTAGTAACGAGCTCATATCTGCATTAGCAATTCCAAGATTCAGAGGAGAGGGAACACTCCGAAGAGCACCCTCCTCGAAACACTAGCTCTCCACAAGCTCATCCAGTCGAGGAAGATATAGACAATCCATTTCCCATTCCCGAACCTCTGGATGCGGATGAGGAGGTTCTCGATAATATCTATGCCAATGACAAGCGCGAAGACTTACGTACATCTCTCGCCTACATCCTTGCACTTCAGAATGCATCATTAGATGATTCCGGTACCGGTCTAAGTCCAGATGCTACCGAGAGACTCAGGAATCCACCTAATCACCCATTTTCCATCGACGACGACCCTGAACTCAAACTTGCTGTCCGTCTGTACCTCGCACTCAACAATGCTGATGATGACTACACGAAAGCAGCCTCTGCGATCAAGGAGTATAATAATGACATAGAGCTTCCTTCACACTGTCAGATTAAGTCCCTTGTTTCACAAATCACTGGAGTCGAGGAGATGAAGCACGACATGTGTCTTAACACGTGCATTGGCTTTACTGGCCCTTTTGCATCTCTCGACCATTGTCCAGAGTGCACTGAACCACGATACAACCAGGAGGTGTTTGAAGCAACGGGCGCCAAGGTTCCTCGACGCCAATTCAGCACAATACCTGTCGGCCAGCAGCTTCAGGCCATTCACCGAAGTCCAGAGGGCGCAGTGGACTTGCGGTACCGAAACATCCAGACACAGCAGATTTTTGATGAGCTCAATCGATCTAATGGATTGAAGGAGTCCTATAACGACTTCTTCGATGGCAGCCAATACCTCGAGGCTGTGAATGAGGGGAAGATCAAACCTGAGGATCATGTTCTCATGTTCTCGACCGACGGCACACAACTTTTCAAAAATAAGCAATCGGATTGTTGGATGTCCATATGGGTTGTTTTAGACAGATCCCCCGAGACTCGCTATCAGAAGAAATATGTCCTCCCTGGCGTCGTCATTCCAGGACCAAATAAGCTGAAGAACCTTGATTCATTTTTGTTCCCCTCATTTCACCATCTCTCCGCAATTCAACAAGAGGGTCTTAAGATTTGGGATGCATCACGCAACATCATTTACACATCAAATCCATTTCTCGCACTCGGCACCGCAGACGGACCTGCACTTGCATATCTAAATGGCTTTGTAGGAGTGCCGTTCACAGAAGTCTGTGTCGAACAGATTGGTGCACTGAACACCCCGGTGGCTCTGATGCACAATTTGAGACACACTGGAAGAAGCTCGATGCTTCTGTCAAACAGGTTCGTTATGTATTCATTTTGAAAAGAGCACTTCTTGACTTGAAATAATCAGAGCTATGCTGATAAGCTTGCCCTTGTCAAAATCGCAAGGTCAAGCGCTACACTATCTGTTCCCCATGCTCTCATACTGCCCGTCTCCGAGTCTGGCCCATCAGATGCTCCCATACTGCCGGATGTGGGGGGCGACTCAGAGATGGTAGAACCGCACACAATTGCTTGAATTTGTCCCCAGGTCTGCACTATTATTATTGCTACATATTTCTCGTTTACCCGCACTCGTCCGCATTGCATTTCACGGTCTCTTGCACGCCTCATGGACATCTTCCATTATGCTCGCTCACCTCATGCTCGTTAGTCTCACCATGTACTAGTATGTTTCTCGTTTACCCGCACTTGTCTCTGCATTGCATTGTTTGTTCTCATGCACGCCTCACGCACATATATATCCCTTTACACTTGTTCGCCGGCGCCTCGTGCTCGTTAGTTTTGCCATGTAACCAATCGCCCTGTATCACTACAACCATTGCAATCGAGCCTGTACAGGCTGATACAGCCTTGCTATATTGAGCCTAATTCTATACAGGTCCACCCAGAGATTGGTTGAAAAATACAGGCCCATACAGGCTCTGTATGCGTCTGTATATGCCTGTAGTAGGATCTGACTGGGGTTGACCAGTAATGTTACACAAAGCGGTATACCGGCATCTGCCAAATTTCAAACTCCTCGCTTCGCCTGCCAAATCACTCCGAGTTCGACCAGTCTGACTACGTCAATAAATTCTCACTATCTCAAATTGACGCATATAGTCAGACTGGTTACGAGTCTAGTCTGGTCCGGACAACTTCTGCCACACATTTTAAAAACGCAGCGGCTTTTGATCAGACGTCACCAGACCCGGATATAATTTCGAAGCTATGAAAGGATATCGAGAGACTCGTTCGTGGTCTTTTATTCCTTTGTAGAGTTCTCATCCTGACCGCTATTCCAGATCCCCAGACTTCCAGCAGTCACTTCCTTAATTTATCATACCTGCTTCACATACTACTGTCTTTTTGGCGTTGCCTCTCTCCCGATCATCCTTGCGCTTGCAACTCAAAATTTTAACAGCATTGTTAAGTTAATATACGGGAAAATTTTCGACAGGAACAAAATTGAAGTAAATTGGAAAATACGGTAAGGGAACATCGTAGCCCTTCAATAACGGTCCAAGTTTAGGTCGGTTTCAATGGTACCCGTCTGCCGGTCAGAAACGGCGATTTGTATCTGTAATGCGAAGTCAGTCAATTAAAATGTTATTTCCCCTTCCATGCAGAGGCACAGAACAACGTCGTCAATCAGATCCATAGGAAACGGATGGCCGTTACAGTCGTCTTTGAAACCTTGCTGCACCTAGTAGCTCCGCGTGTCCTTCAGCAGAAATTAACAGCACTATCTGCGACGAAGAGTAAAAACTGAGGATCATGATCGTGGCTAAATAACGTTGACTGCATAGATCTGGCCAGCCTCGAACTTTAGTCACGGGCATCAATCAAGATCTATGCATGGTTGATGGGCCCACCGAATCGACGTTGTCTTCGTCGGATCGGAATCGACACCGATAGCTTGAATTTACCCCTTGTAATTAAGGATGGTCGAGGGCTTGATCGTTTCATCTTACTGCAGCGGCCCTGTCAGTTACCCAACACCTTCGAATGCCGAGAATAATACCTGGACAGGAGCGATGGACAGAATTCTATCGACGGGGAACACACCGGGCGACTGTCGATCGGGATCTTCTGATGCCCACCAGTGCCCGCCACTGGTAGCGCAAGAAGACAATGGTTCGTTTGTATCAACCATGAAGTTCTGCGACTCGGAGTCTAGTGTCATCATATCATAAGTATTTCATTTGATCTGGAGTACAATTTCCTGTAATTACGATAATGACAAATCCATGACAGCTACAATAGACACAGCGAGACAGTTAATGATACATATCATAAGTATGAGACGAATATTGTTGGTATGTGTGCAGTGGATATGATGCTGGTCAGACTGATAAACTTGGCTTCTCAGAAAGGGAAAACATGCGATGTTTGCGACGAGCGAGTAGTTCTCTGGTTGGACTCGAAGGGGGGTCGCTAGATAGGTCATGCGCCATTTTTCGCGGAGCTGGTGATACCAGATGTTCGGGAGGAACCTCGACGGCGTGAAGATCATCATCTGATCCTTTGTATGGCTCGCGCATTGGCCCAATGAGCATGATAGAATCATCTGATCAGAATGATTAGTCACATGTGATGATCGAAATTAGATTTACACTCACCACTACCTGCCATCTGTATGTCTTCCAGAGCCCTCAGGGGCGAAGAAGACAATTGTTCCTCCAAGGTAGTAGAGTCCGAATCGTCCCAGAGCCTTATCCTCTTCTGGCGACAATCAGACTCATCCATTTCAGCGTCCGAGAGCAAAGGTAAAGAACGCGTGCGTCGCATGCATTTGCTGGGGGTAGTCATAACGGACGGCTGCTCAATACTAGCCCGACGTTGCATCTGCCACCGAAGGCGAACTTCTTCAAGGGGAGGGAGAACAACAGCATCCATGAGCATGCGTTTCCGCTTCTTGCAGACATTGACAACTGGAGCTGAACAGATATTCGACACCGACGATCTGCTCGGGGAGAGAAGACTCGCCACAACCAGTTCGTCCTCGAGGTCACTATCTGCATCAACGTGTGGAAACTCGATGGAAGAACGAATGAAGGTTCCACATGCTCTCCTTCCTTTTATAGTGTTATCGTCTAGAGGGTCGTCAAGTAGTCGTCGTTGTCCAAGCATGGATAAGGAGGCAGTTTCCTTGCTCGGAGAACTGTTTGCGATGCGTTGCATGACCGACCGAACAGGTGACATATTTTCCTTGTCCTCGAGCATCCGCCGCTTGCCTGGTGACGCACTGCATGGCGTCTTTTCTAACTTGGCTGATAACCTCCGCGGGGTCGATGGAGGAACTGAGGGCAATGGTAATGTCGAAGCGGGTGAACGAAGCAGGAGCGAATGGAACGATTCTGGAGTAGCAGAGGGCTTTTGGGGGCGAGGGGGCGTCTCAGCACGGTTTTGACGCGTCGGCGTTGTTGGAAAGAAGATAGAGGGAAATAGTGGAGAGTCAGACTCTAAAGTTTCGAAAGGGGAAAAGAGTGCGGGTCCGAGTCGACCGACGAATGGTGACACATTAGTGAGGTTGCCTGAAGAGGGCAAGTCATTTTGGTCAGAAACGAATGGCGAATCAAGCTCGGGAGTTGTTTGAGAGCTAGGATGTTGATGATCGTCGCTGTCTAGACTATCGGATGAAGATCCTGACTCGGGCTCTTCTATCTGAGGAACAATTTCGGAAACTTCTACAGCCACTTCATCCGCTACACACGGTTTGGAAGACCACTTGACGCAAGCTTGAATTCTCTCGGGCCACCCTCCTTCTGGCTCTTGGTGGCTAGCGAAAGTCGACTGCCAGAATTCTTCAAACGATTCATGTGCAATGGAAGGCTTGTCGCCACGACCGTAAAACACGGACTCGATAAGAGCTGATAGCGTGTCGAGCACATAAACACTCCTCGGAAGTTCTTGCATGCCCAACAAAGAAGTTTGATATAGCGGGAGCAAATCCCCAGTATATTCATCTTCATTGAACACGTGGAATTCATCCGATATCCAAAGGCTGATGCCCTCTTGAAGCGTCTCCAAAAGATTCAGTCGAAGTTCCACAGGGCACGCATCAACTACGCGGATCAGTGATCGTATCATCCAGATCGACGTCACTTTGTTCCGAGGCTCGGGCGGGTATGTAGACTGCAGCGTATCGTTGACAAAGTCGAAGATGTATGAGGGAAGCTGGCGGGCGTCAGCCATGTCAAGGTGCGTGAGCAGTAGATCAGCAACGCGAGTCGACGATGCATAGGCGGGGCATGGGTTCTCGGAGACGATCTCTGCAACACGATCGAGCACGGTGGAAGCATCGATACCGTAATCGAGGGCTTTATTGACGGCATGCTGCAAAAAGTTATCCCAAGTGTCGAATTCGTCATTAGTCATATCCCATGCGCTTGATTTCCTGCAAAAAGGTCAGATCTTCTAAAGGACAGAAGACAATGAGGGTGCATACCCGAAGGGAACGCCGAGTAACAAGGCAGCTCCTTCCCAAGACCCCTCGGCGTCCTCGGTCCACTTCTCAACGAAGCAGCCCCATACGAGGCTCTGAACTCCTGGCTCATAGGACATCATAGCCATAGCCCGCGATCTCTTTGCCCAGAATTCTCGCAAATCATCCAATTCGCAGACGACTAAAACTTCTGCGCAGAGGTAGGCCCATTGTTTCCTAGCATCGTCCGGAGAATCCGTTTCCCAGACGAGGTCGGCTTCGTCCTCCATCAAACACGCAAGGAGCCTCGCACCAGCAGAATGAAGGACATTACTGGGGAAAGTAGTTCGTACCACGGTCCATAAGTCTCTGGTTACGACGAGCTTGAGAGCAGTATTGGACCGAGACAGTATCGAGGTTCGCCTGGGGGTAACTCTGACTCCGCCAATAGGACTACTGGCTTGCTGAGATGGTGGAGGTCCAAACTTGGCCGAAAGGTCGAGCTTAGGATCGCGAAGAATGTCTACGAGTATGGCGGCAGCTTTGGACGCGAAGTCAATAGCTCCATGGTCATCGTTGTCATCTAAAGCCAACATAAACATCAAACGAGTGAATCGCCGGCCAATGCTTACCTTGCAAGACTGCCACGTTGGCCTTCAGAAGGCCTTCCCAAATTGACAAGACATCGCCCTATGTTAGATGTCAGTCGTGCAAACAAAAACCAGGCGTACAACTGACCGGTGTTCCACTATCCTCTGGCAGCTCAAGACACCCAAGTCCAGATCTCCAGATCTCAATGAGGTCGTCAAACACCCAACTGCAAGATAGCTCGTCTCTCGTCAGGGATCGAACATCGCTCATCTGAGGACATTCCTCCAATATTGGCCTCACGGCGGTAGCCAAAGTCTTGTATTCCGCTGTAAGAAGCCCCGGATTTGATGAGAAAAGGGAATGCGGAAGGAGCTTGTTCATGGCCCAATTCTCTCCGGTGTTTTCGAAGCTCACTAAGATCCTCGCAATCTCCATTCCGTCGCCACAGGTTTGACCGCCCTTTTTGATCATGGCTTTGACTAGGGTCAGGGTCTTCCGCAGGCGATCCTCATCTCCAGAATCATCGCCCAAAAGAGCAGCTACCGTTGAGACACCGGCACCCATGTCGGTAATGGACTTGAGAAGTTTCCAGTAGTTCTCGCGAAGAAGTTCGACGTCCTTGTCGTTCATATCTTGGACGTTACCCTCATCAGCGGAGGATGGGGATGGACGGAAATAGGACCAAGCGACACAACGCCACGTAACACAAGCAAGTCCTCGTACTGAGCTCTTCTTATTGCGCACGGCGAGTTGTAGCAGCGCCGAGATTATACGCGTCAATCGAACGTCCAGGTACACTGCTGGCCCCAACAAAACGATGAAACTGGCGATGACGCTGAGGGCCCAGACAGGTCCTTGGGCTGCATGTTGGGGCTCCAACGCGTTCAACGTCGTGCGCAGTGTACGAACAATTATCGGGTCTAACGATGGCTTCGTTGGCGTCTTACGTGGAGAAGGGGATCGTTGAGTCGTTGTGAGGAAAGTAGCTACTGCTTTGGAGATACGGACGTGCAATGACGATTGCGGAATAGAGACGCAAGCTAAGACGAAACCACCGAGCGCGTGACAAGCCTGAGTGCGGAGAAGTAAAGTCGGCGCGAGCAAGTTCGCCAGTATAGATGGGAGCAACTCTGTGAATGCAGGTACGAAAGTCGAGGGTTGATACACGGAAAGATCATGAATAGCCTGTAGCACAAGGTAAGCACCGAACTGAGGCCAGAATGACATTGTTAACCTTTAGGCCGTCGCAGGCAGATCCTTTTTTGCCTTCTTTGCCTAGTTCACCCTCCATACCTCGGCGCAGAGCAAAAGCAATTCTGTCTTTCGCTGGTACGAGGACTTCCTCTGGTAGGCGCTGAACTTGCAGAAGCCATATTGACAGTGCACACGTTTTCCGGGCGTTAGGAGTCGGGAGCACATCAGCCATGGGAATAGACAAGACAGCTGTCAACATTTCGCCCAATTGCGCGTCTTGCAAAGTGTCAGACTACATGCTTCGGAACGCTATAGAAACGCACCTGTGAAGATACGGTAGACAGCAGGAAGGGTGAAGACCGATCCAAGCAACCTCATTACGCCGTGCGAGGTAGTGCAGAGGTCGCGCGCGTATTTTGCCTGCCCAGCTGACATACCGCGTTTTTTCTTACTAGGACTCTTTTTCGGAGAAGGTAGGAGCGAGGGAAGTTCTTCCTCTTCCTCATGAGCAAATGGAAAGTCTTCACTTTCGCTTTCAAGTTCAGGAGACTTCGGCTCCACAAGCGCTTTTCCGAGGTCACGACATACTGCGTCAGTGAATAGCTGCGTATTCTTACGAAGCGGCTGAAACAGAGGCCAGGAAGCGTCCGCGTCGGTTGTGCCCGCCACTGCTGACCTAATGCGGGCAGCGAGGACAGCATAGGCATCAATGAGGTCGGTGAAGGAGGTTTCCGACTCAAGAATTTGGGAGATGGGTCGCGTAAGATACGACAGGTTTACAAGCGGGTCTTCTGGTTCTGGAGTTGCCTCTCGTTGTCCCTGCTCTGACACGGTGAGGAGCTTTGGCGTTGATCTCTTGAGAATAGACTTTGTGGGACACTGGCGTGAGGCGGTTGGTGGCAAGGGAACTTGACCCTTTGGACTTGTAAGAATATGGTATTGGTTCTGTTGAGTCCAGGCGACACGAGAGCCAGGAAAGCTAGTTGTTTCCTTGTCTCTATGAGACGTAGCAGGTGGTGTAGGCAGACTAGTTAAGACCGCCATGTCGATAGTGGTTACTACGACGTTAGTTGAAGGTGGCAGATGATGGTGAAGGTCAACGTAGTGGTCTGCATCCGAAAACTAAGCGCGACCCAAATATTAAAATAATTGCAATTAAACGCGCCAATTTACGCGTCGCGTGCAGTATTTGCACCTATTTGGCATTGTGTCCATGGGAAAATACTGTGGCCTGGCCTAAACCCAAAGGTCATACAAGTCTTGACTGCCTCGAAACCGAACGACAGAGGGGCTCTCCCGCTTGTGGCAGCAGCTGCATACAACTATCTCCACTAGCCTGGCAGATACATTTGGAGAAGGCACCACGCGTTTTCAACGTTGTTCGTCACTCAAAGCAAGACAATATATTTACAGACGCCGCCTTGCGAGTTTTAGTCAGAAGCTGAGACCAGCTTGCAAACCGGTCTAGTTCACAGCGGACGATAATAGCGGAATTGGGGATGCTAGACCGAAACATCATGGAGGCGGGTACATCAGCCCAGTACCTTGCCCATGGTGCGCAGGTAACAGGAGAAAGTGGTAATGGCTTATCCAGATGACGTGATAACACGAGGCAGAAGAATTCAGATAAGGATTACCATTCATTGACTCTCACAATCAGTTGGAGGATTGCTGCAAGAACCTCCGCTGACATTCATAGCGGAAGAAGGTGCGAGCAACGAGCCAATAAGTGTATTGATGATAATTTACGAGATTTGTGCTTCATTTAGTCCGATGGAAACCTGCGGCTTCCGATGACCCCACGAATGAAAAGCTTGTAAAAGTTCAAGGTACCGATAAGTACTAAATGACTGTACTGGTAAAGCTTCTGCAGCCCCCCCTCTTCCGATCACGCACACCCATTGATGTAACAGCTGATTGTGACTCTGAAATGAGAGCATGAAGTCATTGTCTTAGGCACATCGTGATGCTTAAGCCGCTGTCACACCGAGAGCGCTTCCAAATAATTAACACCTCGAAGTTACCTCGAAGTTCGTGCAACGCAGATATCTCAAAGTTGAATTGCCGCGTGCGCGCTGCAGCACAGAAGATCTGACAACGAGCCGAACTAGAGAGAACCGAGTCTTGATTCAAGATCGACTATCCGCCGGCAACGCACCAGTCAGCTTCTTACGTTTCTTACCACAAGTGTCACGCGGCTACTATCCAGTGAGTACAAATACCAGCTCATCCAACTTTCTAAAGACCCATCGAGCAGCTTCTCTGTTGTACGACTACCAACTTACGATCACACTGTTAAACTCTTCAATACTCATCATGATCTCATTCACAACTTTCATCTTTACTCTCTTGGCTCTCTTCAGCCTCTCCCTCTCTGCTCCTATGCGCAGGGATGTTTTCGTCCCTCCGATCATTTACCCAAAATCTGGCGTAGTCTGGATAGCTGGTCAACATCACAATGTTACCTGGTCAGTGCTTCTTCCTTCTCGTCTTCGCTTGGCGTCAATCTCATCATCACCGGATGCAGGGAGACCGATGGTGCACCCGTAAGCATCACCAACGGGATCGGCAGGGTATATCTAGCGAACAACACCATCATTGATCTGGGTAAGCTTCCCATCTTCCCATTTCATATCCGACTCGGGCTGAGCAAATGTCTCAGACCATCCTTTGGCAATCGGCTTCGACATCTTGGATGGTCGTGTTTCCGTTCAAGTACCGTCTGTGCCTACAGGTCAGAACTACTCGCTTGTCCGTAAGTGCATATTTCATCCTAGAATATTGGTGCGCACAAGCTAATCAACATCACTCGCAGTTTTCGGTGACTCGGGTAATTACAGCCCACAATTCACCATCATCGGCCTCTAATCGGTACCCTACCATGACCTGCCTAATGATGCGATGAACAAGTAATGCCAATGTTGAACGGAGGGCGCGCAGGTGTAATCGTGCTCCCTGTAGTGAAATTTAATGCGATGGACTATGTAATAGTTATGCACTCGGATCTTACTGGACGATTTGTAGTTTAGTGGCAACAAAGTTGCTTCGAATATGACTCATCTGTGATGGTTGTACTTCTTCGGAGCGTTGCATCAGGATGCGTGCTCAGTTTGCCGGCAGAAGGCGATACTTGGTGGGGCGTCCGGGTCTAGCCTTTTTTTGTTTGAGTAGTCACCACGCTAACAAGTTTTTTTTTTTCATTGAAATTCAACTTCAAAGAGACCTCTAGGTACTAAGTGTGCAGACGGCTCATAGCTAAGTAGTCAAATACCATATATATGCATCAACATTGGTCTATCAAATACCCAGGTATGTCGAAGGTTCAGGTATCCATAAACTATGTATAATTAATGGAGAAATCCCAACGTGAAACTCTAAAAATACAGTTGAATCACTAATGAGATTTACATAATGGCATCGCTCGCGCGCACTGAGGCCGACGTTTAACGTTAAAAACGTTCATCATGATTGAAGCTTGAAGACCGATGGTCCTATTACTCGAGGAGACTTGGACTAGCGGTAATGAAGTGTGATTGAGGTATGCACTCGCACCGTAACTTGAAGTGTGTAAACTGAGCTCGATAGACAAAAGGAGATATGACTCCACTCACGCATACCAGTGTCACGTCGGTGTTATACCAGTTGTCCAAACCTCTGTCTACGCTTGATTTAACACTCAAAGCCCTAATCATCGCGAATCTCAAGTAAGCGTATGTACTGGTTATCAGTGACGTCGGAATCATCTCTGCAATCTAATGCTTCTTCCAACCTTCAGGCATTTTAGTCATGGTCAGATATCTAGTGCGAGATGAGTGGTTGTTCCAGCGAGGCGTTTATTGGGGTCATCGCGCCCCGTAACCGTACAGGACAGAATATATATCATTTCCTTGGCTTCGAGGGATCTCGTGACGGAGACAGGTGATTACTGCTACACCAAATTTTGCCATGTGAAAATCATCAAGGGGACTGAGTCTAGGTGCATTACTACTTTCGCCTCGAACGATCCTTTTTCGGAAAGGTTACCATCCAGCGCGCCGTCAAAGAAGGTTTTGAAGGAGGCGCTGTAGAAGAAAGGCCCGCCTCGTTGGTACAAAGGTTCTTGAAACAAAACGTCAGTGACTATGCACGTCGCCAATGAAGTTTACTGCGAACTCAGTCGTCCCGTCGCATTCGCGACCTGTGTCGCCCTCAAATCCCAGGTGGGTGGCATCTTATTGCCACATGTAATTAGTTTCTTGCCATTATTCTAGACTCGGGCATGACATGATCGTGCGCGTGAGTAGTTCGTAAGTGCGTCCATTCGATATTCAAATTTGACTATCAATCAATCCAGTATTTATGCATATCAGTGCAATGTCAAACTACATCCATGACACCCATTTTATTTAAACTCCTGTAGATCGTCTGCAACCGGTCTCTAGAGCGCGGGAGATCAACGCGAAGAATGTCATTCCAGTGGGGGTCCTGGCGTTGTTCGCTAGGGGCTTGGTAACTCGAGTCCTTTGCAGAAATACGGTGCATGGCCTTATGGACGTTGATTGGACGAATTATAGCGCTACGCCAATAAATCCACGATTACCCCTTCAGCGTCCTTCTGTGGGACGGTTGATGCGAAAGAAATATCGCCTGCCCTGCCCCAGCTGCTTCGTCGTCCTCGTTTTGATTGTCTTGGTTTTCTGGAGCTTCCTTAGTAGGCTGCTCTTCAGGCGGCTGTATGATCTCCTCGGGATCATCACCATCATTTTCATCCTCATCATCCTCGTCATCATCCGGCACAAACCAAACAGGGAACTGAGGCGCGGGATGTCTGCCACTAGTCCATAGAGTATTTGATTCCATAGTGGATACCAAAGAAATTCGATATTCCTAGAATTGAGGGTGCGCGAGAACGCGAGAGAGGTCGCCAAAATGGCTTTGTATTGCACCACTGCATTATTTCTTGCCGCAGGAGGAATACGAGGGGGCATCGTGAATCAGTAGGTGGCCACAGATGACTCGGAGTGGTGCAATGTGTTGCATTGCAGCATGAGATATATGTATATATACGTAGCACGGACCTCAGAATTGAATCCTTGCAGAGAACAATGCAAGGATGCTATTGTAAAAAATTTCGAGGGACAGAAAACAAACGTGATTGCTCGAGCGCTCAAATATTCAATCATGACGTGGTGAGTATTCTCAACAGAAGGCATAGAAGATCAATCTGTGGCTCGAGAAACCAAAGGGGATAGGAACAATGGTGGAACACGCCGATGCGGTGATCGCTGATGTGTTGTTGTATCAGTTATTCACCACAGTCCACAGGCTTGCGCGGCATTGTCTGTTTGGAAGCACGTGCCTTGTCACATGACAGCCTATATAAAAGGGCTTACCAGGTTCAGTTGCTGCTCAGTGTTAATTATCACGAATCCAAGGCAAGTAAATACAATCATATCGGAACCATCTTTGCAATCTAACGCTTCTTCATCAGGGGTCGTAGTTATGGTTAAATACTGTGGATATACAGTGCGAAATGAGTGGATGTACCAGCGAGGCGTTGATTTGGGATTTCCCCGCCCCGTGACCGCGGAAGAAAAGTCGGATATGATTCTCCTGATTTCGAGGGATCTCATGACGGAGACAGGCGTTTCCCGCTGTACCAAACTGCGTCATGTGAAAACCGCCAAAGGCACCGGGTTTTGGTGTATCGCTTTCGCCTCGAACGATACCCTCTCAGAAAGGCTACCTACCACCGCGCCATCGGAGGAAAAATACAAGGCTTTGAAGGAGGTGCTGCAGAAGAAAGGCCCGCCTCGTTGGTACAAAGCTTCATGAACCAAAACGTCAGTGATTACGCACATCGCCAATGAAAGCAACTAATGTTTGTTGCATAGCCAGTCTTGTCTCATGCTGCATATGTACCGTTCAAGCCATCGAATCTCAGGACGAGTGGCACATGTAATTTGTTATTCTTTTATCGGTCTCGGGAATGGAGGGCACACAGGATGCCGAAGCCCCTCTTTTCTGTACCAGAGTAATCCCTTTTTATATATCCTGTACTGAGTTGAACCTGCATGGTGTACTGGACGTGTGCGCATTTCTACTCAAACTGACATGGCCACTGGATGATTAGTTCCAGATGCTATCGACATGGTTCCGCAGCTTCTGCTGGAGAGGGCTCTTCCTCCACTTAACGCGTGAATACTGACTGAGTGTGATTCTCGATGCTCAGACTAATCGGTTGAAATGAGTCTAATGACCAACTAGCTTGATGTCGATTCAGTCGGGCAAGTGTACAAAGGACCACCACTTATTCTTCGGAAGCACTCATACGCGTGTTGTCTTGTTGCACGTGCTTTGTCACATGATCATAATGCATCAGTACCACTCGCAGTCTCGCACGTCGTAAGTACTAAGCCTGGCGTTCGAGATTGCAACTTGATGAAGTGACTGCTGTAGGAAGAACTTACGGTGATTAAGTTATCTTCGAGCTATCATGATGCAGTAACCACTGGTTACAGAATGATCCGTGACTCGGAGATTATTATAGATAGGTGGGTGGTCGCCCATGCAAGCTACCCTCTCTGGAAATGCAGAACATGAGAAAAGAGGGGTTGTGGAGGGTGGGGGCGGGGCGATAGTCCCTTGTTTGCATAACCTTGGGTGCCCAAACAGCTCCTGATCTACAAGATGAATTTTGCTGGAGTCAAAGGCCGGAATCCAGGACATGGTCCAATGCAGCTGCAATAAATGAATACTTGTCCTGTTTCAACGCGCTTCTATCATTGCGGCTGATTCAATTTTCGATAGTTTTATTTTGAATGTGTTGGTTTGCTTGATGCTCCCGAGGCAGATTGCTTGTGCAGTGACATATGCAGTACCAGCTCTCAGAAGACAAAATGATTTTTTTGGATCTAAAGGTCATATATGCTTAGGTCTGTACGATGCCTGGGGTGTCCGGCAATACATGTTCGTCTGCTGCTGGTACTGCAGAAATTACCAAATATAGCATACCCCTAGGGGGGACAGGAGGGGGCGGGTACCTGCCCATGTGTAGACTGGTGACCAGCCCATGTGTTGTTTTTATTGTTCAACCAGTTGTACTTACCACCGCTGACTGCGTTTTACTTATCCACGCTTGATTAAATACACCAACTATCGCGAGTCTAACGTAGTGCATGCAGTAGCGTTGGAACGGTCTGCAACCCAATGCTTCCTCAAAGCCTCAGACATTGTAGATATCTAGTGCGAGACGAGTGGTTGCTCTAGCAAGGCGTCGAGTTGGATTGACCGCGCCCCGTGACTGTGAAAGACAGAATATATATTATTTCCCTGACTTTGAAGGATCTCATGACGGAGACAGGCAAATTTTGTCATGTGAAAAACACCAAAGGGACCGAGTCTTGGTGCATCGCTTTCGCCTCGTTGGTACAAATGTTCTTGAAACAAAACGTCAGTGACCATGCCCATCGCCAATGAAAACAACTAATATTTACGGCGCGGCCACGGTCTCGTCCCTGCGTCCAAACCCTTGAATCCCAGGGTAGGTGGCATATTGGCACATGCAATTACTTTCTTGCCGTCATTCCAGATATGATCGTGAGTAGTTCATAAACGTGCCCATCACAATTTAGGACTGGCCTCAGATATCAACAAACCGGAAGCGTGAGCAGCTGCATGCGGTTTCTAGATAGTGACAGGGCAACGAGGTGAAATCCTAACATAGTGTAGGGAAAAAATAGGGGCAAGCAGGGTCGTGATGCCCACGCGACCCTTTACTAGTGCACTGAGTCCGAGTAAGACTGAATGTTATGTGATTAGGTTCACTAGTAAAGGGACTGTCGACCAAATCTCCGACCAGTGATGGCATCAGCTCACTTTTTTTTAATAAGCAACTTACATAAACTCCACTGTGAACACACGACACGACGGATCAATATTCTGGCCGTCCAGTCATCCACGTCACGTAGTACACGTGGTCGGCAAAAAGGAGAGCGAGCTGTAACGATGCTGTCAGTAGTAGCATGGGGCTATGGAATGGGTTGTAGCCTGTTGCGTCTTGTCCGAGATGGGCCCAGCATTTGAATTCATACCCAGTGTGTATTAACGAATAGGGGCCTCGGAGGGCGCTCTATCACCCCTCCCGAAGCGCTTAACATTCATCAGCGGGTTGGATTGTGCTACAGAATGCTACAGAGCGCTCTGTAATGAATTACGTTTCCCTGATGTTCAACGTTGGCCACTCCTGTATCGAGCGAAGTAGTGATACAAAGTTCACAAAAATCAGGTTGAGACTCCTCGTGAGACTGTCCGTGCCCTCGGTAATGAGTTCTTGGAAGTCAAAGGAAGCATTGAGCACATACACATGAGGAACCCAGCGATTGAAATACATCTACGTGGTACGTTTGAATGCGTCCAAGTCAACATTATCGAAGCACTGAGCATTTCAAGGCTCACACAATATTGATTTGAAAATATTCAAAGATCATCACGCCAGCATGCCATAGCTATCGTGACATAGAGTTAGTCTCGTTAGTCGCTGTGATGTCGATAACACTCATCCAAGTCTCAAACAATACAAAGGCTTGAAATGTGTCGCGGTCTCTTCATATTGAATAAATCCAACGCCATACACCGGCCGCATGTTCATCATATTGACACATACTTGATGGAGAAATCAGCGAATCGCTTAATACAAGTCATGCAGGTACCGTACCGCCTTTGAATGGCCGAGTCGTGCCAAAGATCTGAAATGCACGACCTACATCATCCGTATGTTGGGTGCAGGTGGAAGAGCCAGTACTGCGATAAAGACCAAATGGTATCGGTGTCCGACCGAGCCATCCACTTGGTCCGATTAATGCAGATTCCTTTCTTATGAGGAGATGAGATATTTGGCGATATGATATCATTGCAGAAAAACGTGAACAGTTCGCGGAACTCAGTGGAGTACCATACCATAGGTTCCACTAAGGCTTAAGCTCTTCAAAGTTCAAGTTCAGGACTGAGTGTGGCTGTGCACTACCGCAAAATCCCTGCAACGTCCGACTCCCGACTTCCCCCCAGCCACAGCTGCAAGGATAACCCTAGACATGCCTCACAAAAATGGATCACCGACGAACCTTCAATACCGCACCAAACCACTAAAATCAGCCTTACGACGCACGCAACAAAAGTTCGTTCATCATGATGGACTCACAGAAGACGAGCACCAGCACCATCATCCAGTCTCTGAGTCTGAAGCGGGACCTGAGTTAGATGGCAGCTTGGAGAGCGTTTCTGACGAGAGTGCCGGTGATGCCCAGGGCAATGAGGATGACGACGACGTGGATGCGCCTCGGGTGGTACAATGGGCGGACGTGGTAGATGAAAACAGCGAGGGACTCTCAGAAGAGGAAACAAACGACGAGGACACTAATGCTATTCCCGGGAAACCCTCCCGAGATCTGGTTCGCTCTCATTTTGCTTTCGTGTTGTGCAGACTTACTGATTGCGCTTATTACTCCAAAGCGGTCTCTCGAGGATGGTGCGTACGAGTTCCATTCCCATATCTACAAGTACCTGCACTCGTCGATGTGCAATTGACTAATCCTACTTATATTTTAATTTATGTCTCTAGATTTGTCCTCTCTGCCTCTAGGGATGCTGCGCAAAGCCCAGCGCGCCCTCTCCCAATCCCGTGCTCTAAGCGATTCCGAATCGGAGTCCGAGTCTGACGCACCATCAGAAGAAGACGCATATCCAACTGACGACGAACGCCCACGATCAACTACAGCCAAAGAGAAAGACAAAGAACGCCTAGATAAACACTCAAAACCGCGTAAAGACCTCGCCAAAAGATCTAGCAAGCATGCGTAAGCACCTTCCCATCACCCACACACTCATCTCATCCCGCACAGCCCTACCGAAATAACCTCCAAACGCCCCGTCACCCGTCGACGAACAGTCGTCGAATCCAAAGCACCCATACCCCGAGACCCCCGTTTCCTGCACATAACAGGCACCTATGACCCCCAAAAGTTCAAATCTCATTATACATTCCTCTCCACGCTCCACACCTCTGAACTCAGCACCCTCCGCTCCAACCTTAGCCTCGCGCGAAAGCTGCTCTTAAATTCCCCAAAAGAACTGCGCGCAGCACGAGAGCGGGAAGTTGGAAGACTGGAGCTTGCGGTGAAGAGGGCTGAGAGTAGTGTCAATAGGGATAAGAGGGAGAAAGTGGAGATGGAGGCGCTGGATAGGGTTGGGAGGGAGGAGAGGGAGAAGAGGAGGAAGGGGAAGGCGGGGTGGTGGATGAAGTCAGGTGAGCTTCTTTCATTTCATTTCTTTTGTTTTCGTCTTCGTCTTCGCCTTCGCCAACTGATGCTGATCAAATCACCTTGCATCCAGCCGAGAAAAAAGAATTGCTGATGAAAGCTCGATACGACGCCATCGCATCAAGTGGAGGAAAGCGCGCAGTAAAGAAAGCGATAGAAAAGAAGCAGAAGAAACAGAGTCAGAAGGAGAAGAAATCGCGTCCGTTTCCGGCTCCAGGTCGCACCCACTCGAACCCCAACGACGCCAGCATCAGCACTGGTTCTAACAACATCAACATCGGAAGTGGAAGTAGACAGAAGCGCACACGATCTACTCTAGACGAAGAAAGAACCCAGCCCTCAAAGAAACGCAGGAAATTCTGAATCCAAATCCATTGTACTAATCTAATCAAAAGCACATATCATTGTCATTGTCATTGATTCGATCCACTAGATCCTCGAATGATGGGATACAATGAGGGATGGATGGGGGTATTATCCACTGCTAATTGGTAAGGTAATGCCACAGCGGTCGTCCTC